CAGTCACCTGGGGTCGGCGCAACATGTTTGCTCCTTCCATACTCTTCTATCATATACCATTTCTTCGCTCACTCCCCTCCTACCCATATCGTCTTTCACGCAATCCATCCATTTCTTCTTAGGTCTACCTCTTCCTCTAAATCCTTCCACATTCATAGTTAACACTCTCTTAACAACCTCATTTTCATTTCGTCTCATCACATGTTCATACCATCCCAAACGCGCACTCCTCAGCTTCGTCTTTACAAACAATGACAGGATATTACGTAGATAAAGTTTATGTTTGTCCCCATAATATACATATATTTTTTTTATTTAATTCAGTGTTCGTCAAATCATTTTTAGATTTAACAATTTGCAATAACTGATAACTCGTGCACAAGATATCTCGTATTGCCCATACTAAACAGTTCGATCTTATTTTTTCCTCCACATAATAGATACATACATTTAAAATTACAGCCTTTATCTTATTAGCATTCAGCTCGGTAAGTTTTTTTGAAATTTCATATCTGCTGGGATTTTTCTGGTTACAAAATAAAGGACACGTATGCATATCGACGTTTTTCAAAATCCCTCCCCTATAAGGATGATAGCTTGGAGATTTTAATTCCATATAGAAAGTTCCGCGCTTATGGAGAAGCAATAAATTTAGTATTAGAGCTTTCTTGTTGTATAAAGCTTAGGAAAAAAGAATACGTATATCATTACCGTTATATTCTTTCCACAAAATATCCCGTTTCATCCACCCAAAGTTCCTAATTAATAGCACTCAAATTAAGTCAGTTCATTCAACAAGTAATCTCAATTCCGATCGATAGCCAATTAGCGTTGCTCCAAACTAAATAAACGCCCCGTCACATTCAGACATCCCGACACAACAGAAAAGCTTAACTATTCATCATCATCATCATCATTCTCCTGCTCTTCTCCCAATCACCTGAGGTCGGTGCAACATGTTTTCTCCTTTCATACTTCTCTATCATATACCATTTCTTCGCTCACTCCCCAAGAGGGGGGGGTAAGAATACATATCGTCTTTCACGCAATCCATCCATTTCTCCTTTGGTCTACCTCTTCCTCTCCCTATCAACTATTATATTAAACCTCAACTATTATATTCTTTAAAATCGAAATGCACAATGCCTTCCACAAAGCTAAGGATCGTAGAAGATGGAGGGAAATCGTACGGAAGAAACTGATGCAGCGGGAGAGTCACGACCCTCAGTAATGAGGAAAACGACGCGAGTATAGTAAAATCGAAATGTCGAAGACCTGAGAATCAGACCGGTTCGCGACTTCAGCCTCGCAGCGGTGACCTTTACTTCAATTTGCATACTCGTTATGTAATTTACACAAAAATTAGTCCGAAAGTCTTCTCCAGACTCCGAACATTTTATATGAATAAGAAAAAACATGGAAGCAACGTAGAATTTAATCAGCCGGTTAATGTATATCTTAAATTACAACAGGGTTTTTTTAATTTTTTTTTTATTGCCCTAGTAGACAGACGAGCATACAGCCCACTTGATGGTGAGTGGTTACCGTCGCCCATGGACTTCAGCAATGCCAGGGGCTGAGCCAAGCCGCTGCCTACCGCACAGGCCACACAACAGTGTTTCACTAAAATAGGAGACAATAGGAGTTTACCAGTAACCGAGTATACCATTTACCCGGTGATCCCTATCAGCAATAAGCTCTGTCATTACCCTGAGCACAAACAGAGCGCTCCTGTACAGAAGGAATTCTTAGACATCCTTTGATGTAGATCTCTAATTATTATTTTCCCTACCTAAGCCGGTAGCCTAGATGATTGTGCCAACGTAACCAGGCGAATAGGTGAGCTCACGGGGCTCTAACCTGAGGATGTTGCTAACACTATTCCTCGCAATAGCAGTGCACTTCGCAACATCTACGAACAGATCGGAAACACGACCTACTGAGAAGATCCGGCGAGAAATTCAGTGGGCTGTGTCTGTGGGTTAATTTACTCGCCGAACCTTTCTTCAAAAGCGACGGGCTCGACAAGAACAGTGACCAGTACTTGTGGTACAATTTAGGTAGTGGATCGGGAGGATCCGAAATGACGTGATTTGGGTGACGTACGCAGGATCAGAATGTTGAACTCTAATAGCGTAGAGCCCCCTACGCAACTTCCGGGAAGCTACGACAAGTCTTAAAATGGGAGATAGGGTAAGATTTGTCCGTGGCATTATTTGTAATAATTTCCAACGGTAGCCACTCAACCGTACGTTTGTCTATATTCCAATAAAAATGCAAACTGAAGAAATGTTTCTACTTAGATCAGTAATCGGTAAAGGTTTTCTTTTTACGCCAACTATTATTGCTGCAAGGATTATTTTATAGTTTTGACTTGGTACTAAATTTCTTAACACCCTGTATATCATAATAACTTTGACTTTTATCACTATTTTGTGCGTCACTTGGAAAGTGGACAGCCGAACCAGAACTAAAGCGTCACTAATGCCAAAACGAATTTCAACTTTAGCTAACAAAACTCGAAAGGCTATTTCCCTTTAACAAACTAGAATTTCGGCTCCAATTACCAGAATTGGTCGTGGTAACATAAAAATTGTGATATATCTTTCGTCTCCTTCTTTATCAGAGTAGGAACGCTTAGGTAGCTTTCGATAAACAACCTTGCCGTGTATAAATTATTCTGAAACTCCGCCGAAACTTACGCGAACACTGTAAGCCATATTGAAGAATAACTTCACTACTGTATCGTGTGAGGGAAACTTTATATTTGTTTCGTAATTTACGTAGCCTTAATAAATAATAGTAAAGTTTATGTACCGGAATTTATGTACAACATATTTTTCACTGTTTAGGACTTGTAAACGCTAGGAAATAACTAAAGCCTTGATCTATCTGTCGTTGTTACCACTTTATATATTTGTTACATAGAAGGGTGGACGAGCTCACAACCGTTCAGTGGTTACTGGAGCCCATAGACATCTAAAATGAAAATGGCGCCACCCACCTTGAGATATAAGTTCTAAAGTCCCGGTATAGTTACAACTGCTGAACTGCAACGCAGTTCTTTCACGGCAGAAATAGGCAGGTTGTTGGTACCTACCCGTGCGGACTCACAAGAGGTCTGCGAGAATGTGTAAGGGATTTTTAGCCAGTGCGTATGAGGTATTTCCAAAGCAGGATCTGACTTGGTTACGGTAAGAGATCTGATAAGCCTCACAAAAGTTTTCGAATATAATACCATACCTATAGAAATGTGGACTTGTCTCGTTACCAAGCAAGAGGTTTTGACTGGGGGATCAGGGAATAGTGGCGTTTGGAGCCTTTTTAACCCGCGTAAAGCAGTCAACGTGTTGAGCCAACGAATAACAACCGTGGTGGTTTTGCGGCAGATTTAGCCAGAATAGTCTTTTTTTTTTTCATTGCTTAGATGAGTGGACGAGCTCACAGCCCACCTGGTGTGAAGTGGTTACTGGAGCCCATAGACTCCTACGTCGTAAATGCGCCGCCCACATTGAGATATAAGTTCTAAGGTCTCAAGTATAGTTACAACGGCTGCCCCACCCTTCAAACCGAAACGCATTACTGCTTCACGGCAGAAATAGGCAGGGTGGTGGTACCTACCCGCGCGGACTCACAAGAGATCTACCACCAGTAATTCATTGTTACATTCAGTCATTGTTACGTACCCGTCCAGTCTCACAGCCATATCTATCTATCAGGTCTTACAAACACAAGCGGGCCGTGAACATTGTCGGATTAAAACACGAAATCTACAAACTATTTACAAACATTGGAAGCTGCAGCCGAATTGTGCAAAAAAAACCAGTAAAACCTACATTTGTTTTAACTGAACGGTTAACATTTTTTATTTGTGTTTTTTTTTCAAATTTCAACAGCATTTTTCAATAGCAAATTTTATTAAACGTTAGGGTTAACTTGACCTTTATCTATCGATGTATGTAACGGAATCTTTCAAGTACTTTACTGGTGGTAGGACGTTTTATGAGTCCACATGGGTAGGTACCACCACCCTTCCTATTTATGCCGTGAAGCAGTAATGCGTTTCGGCTTGAAGGGCGGGACAGCCACCTGCCAGGCACATGCTAGAGGGTTTTGGAATCCTAAGACATCGCAATGTAAATCACAACTCACCTCAATCTATGAGATCAAAGTCTCAATTGTTATGATTAATTGATGTCCAACTCTTCGAACGAACGTAAGGCTGTTACGTAAAATACGCAAAGCTAAATTTCTTGAAAATTGGTCTCGCCTTAACACGGATATCTTTCCGGGCGATACATCAATTCGGAACCCGACAAATAGTCTCGGGATATATTTATTATTGATTCGAACATAAATTTTGTGACTTCACACGCTCTGTACTCCAAATGTGAAAATATTCGATTTCCTTTGAAGATAAATATCTTCACCGTATATTTCCCGGAAAAAAAAAACAGAGTTAAACGGTATAGGGAAGTTATTTGACGTAATTGATTAATATCCGGGAACGAGTCACACGCGCTCATCTGGCCCCAAACTAGGATACTCTTTTCTCTGGAGGTCTTGGGAGGTCTTTTCAAGTTTTTATCTGTTCTAGTCATGGCACTTCGAGAGGGTGAGGTGTGCTTTCAGCTCTAACAATAAGAGCAGGCTTAGACCCCGTTAAGCATACTCGTCGAACTCGACATAGAGTTCGACGTGCAACCTAACCCATGAATCAGCTCGCTGTGTTTCTCGCCGGATCTTCCCAGCGGGCCGCGATTCCGATCTGGTAGTAGATTCATTCGCGAAGCAGCTACTCTAGAGTTGTTAGGTCTCCTTCGGAGGCGCTCGGGCAGCTGTTAGCAAATCCCACCCCTCCTGGCCGAGTCTTTGCTCGCCCACCTGTCCTGATCAAACTGGAAAGGCCTCCGGGTCACCAGTAAGCCTTCAATCATAAAAAAGGAGTAGAATCCCTTCCTGGCTCCTCAGCGCTAAAGACAGGGTGGGCGGCGTGGGCGTTAGGCCCCCGCCCAGCTGCTGTAGTGGCAGTCAGATGCCGGATGCGAGGGCACTCTGTGCTCCATTGTCCGCCCACTGATGAGGCACCGCCGACGATGCTTCCACGGCACCAGTGCAATCCTCGGATCGCTAAGAACCAAATCCTGCTCAATCATAACCACAGGTATTGGTGAAGGCTGATCTTCGGCCCGCTTTATACGGAACTGTAGGTTTCGTTTGCTCGGTGTGGAGGATCTCGTTGTGGCTTAATAGTCGTACTGTGTGGGAGATTAATACTGCACGCTACCTCGTACTCTTATTCCAAGGCGTTTCTCCGAAGAGCTTTATTCTTCTTCTTCCTTTAAGACGCTGAAGTCCAACTCAGCCAGGGCTGATTCCCCTTAATGCGGGTAATTCCCTATGCTATGAGAATCAGAGGCTGCTACGCAAACTTAAGTATATATATATATACATTTATCGAGGTGTTCGAGGGCCGAGAGGTCGCATATGATTGTTGATTCTCGAACACGTCAGGCATACTCTGAGGAATTGTTTGAGATACCATCATCTCGTTCTTACCATCGCACCACTCGCCACCGGAGTAGAGTTCATCCATACTACCTGAAGCCATTGCGTTGATCCATAGTGCGCTTCCAGAGATATTTTTTGCCACGCACCATCCGGCTTTGGATGTTTTGGCACGGTGTTTCCTGAGCGCTATGACATATCCTTCTTCAAATGAGGCTTGTGGAGAGTACTTAACGGTAAGCAGCGGCTTGGCTCTGCCCCTGGCATTGATGAAGTCCATGGGCGACGGTAACCACTCACCATAAAGTGGGACGTATAAAAAAAACGTCAGCACGGTACCTTGAACTTCATAAATAGTTATATTCAGACTATAGTGTAGACTTTTCACTATTTTAATTATACAGATGCTAAAATTACTAAAACAATCAGGGATTACGATAATAATTAATGATTTACAGACAATTGGTTTGTGTATGACGCGCATGCGGCCGATGTCAGCAAGAGAATGGAATAGCTTGACGTTTGCCCGCCATTACTAACGCTACTCCATTCGGTGTTGCCCGCTCTTAAATAAAATTACTATTTAGTCGGAAAAAAAACAATTAATCATTATCAATGTAACACGTAATAATTTACCAACGATCACAAATTAACAATAATAAATTATAACTGTTGAAATTAACTGATTTTTTTTATTTAAAAATGTCACGTGCTTTTAGAAATACATTGATTGATAGATTGGATGTTCATATTTTTGAACAAACGACTCACTGATACTAAGTTTGTGTCGCTCATATATGTACATGCAATGCTTACGACAGGCTTTTTTTATTAGCCTTGTAGGTAGATGAACATACGACCCACCTGATGGTGAGTGGTTACCGTCGCCCATGGACCTCAGCAATGCCAGGGGCAGAGCCAAGCCGCTGCCTACCGTTGAGTACTATCCACAAGCCTCGTTTGAAGAAGGACAAGGCATAGCGCTTGGGAAACACCGTGGAGGGGAACTTTATTTAATTTTAGTGAGGTTTACTTCATTTTACCACTGAACCTGAAACTCATGAATCTCATTTCCGTATGTCAAAATTCGGTTAATTCCTACGAAATGCTGAAAAGAGTATTCGCCCAAAAATTAGCCTCTATTTAACATATATAATATGTAATCATCGTTCTTCATTACACGGAGGTAAGTAAATCAACAGCGAATATTATCTATTCACCATTTGAATTATAAAATATTTTTTGTGTATCTCAGGAATGTGGACAAGATAGAACTATTATAACAAATTACATTATTATTTTAGCAACGTTTCGGTCTTTTATTAGACCTTCATCAGGCATCATAATATGAATTTAAATAATCCCTATCTTACACTGCACAATTGTCTCAGACATCAGAGACTAATACAAATCTACAAAGCCGCTAAATTATTTAATTACTATTTTTGATTCCGGAAACAAAGCCAACACGACACATAANGGTGCTGGAGGACGTTTCATCTTGAATTTCCTGACGGGAGCATGATTGTCATAAAGTGCCTGGAGTTGAGCGTTAAATATAGTCACCTTGTCGTCAATAGATGTAGCTGCCGTCAGTTCATCCCAACTAATTTTAGCAGCATCCTCACACAACCTGCGTCCATCCATGCGACCAAAACAACGCACGCGCAAAACTTTAGGCTTGGATTTGGGAGGTTTAAGGACGTAGGATAAGTAAATGAGGTCATGATGGGAGAAACCAGGAGCAGGAAACTGACCGTGAGAATAAACAAGATCGGGATTGGAAGTGAGTATTAGGTCAAGCCAGGTATCCTCTCCTTCAATGTTGTGGTGAGTGGCTTGTAAAGGGAGGATGTGTAAACTAACTGACTCAACAAGGTCAAGGAGTTTTCGTGAACGAGTGGACAAAGGGACAAGGAGGTCGGTGTTGAAGTCTCCCATGATGATGTGGTGTGCGTAATCCGACCCTAAAGATTCCAGAATTGAGTCAAGACTGGAGAAGTAATCAACAGAGGGAGGACAATAAACCACACCAAGTAACGTTTTGACTCCCTTGACCCAAACCTCAAGGAAAAGGTATTCAGCGGAATTGGAACTCTTGGAAGAGGAAGAGGCTATGACTTTATAAGAAAATGAGGCTTGGAGATAGATAGCCACACCACCCCCTCTCCTGTCCACCCGATCATTTCGGATTAGAATAAATCCAGGTAGGGAGTATGCGGCGGAAGGAAGATGAGGTTTGAGCCAGCTCTCAGAAATAAGGACGGCGTGCACGTTAGCGTCGGTGAAAGTTACATCTAGTTCACTGTAGTGACTAGCTATACTTTGTGCGTTTATATGACAAACGTTAAAAGTAACGCGATTTTCAAGATTAAACTTACTACGTATCAGTTCTCCAGTAGTAGCAACCATCGAGCAAAAGCTGTCATCACTGCTAGTAGAGGAAGCAGATTCATTAGCAGAGTAAAAAGAGTCATCATCTGTATTCATAATAAATTAATAAAATTATTAAATTATAATATTAATTATATAATATAATAATAAAATTATTAAATTAAATTATTAAATTTAAATATATGTATGTGTATTAAAGTAAAATAAATATGTATATATTTATTGAAAGAATACTTCAAAATAAATATAATATATTGATATGGCGCAGATAATAAATAAAAATATACTACTGTTACGTGTTCGATCACACTCTGCGCCACCCGCCAGCTAACAACATACATTAATAACAAAAGTAAATGTTACATAAAACCAAAAAGTAAAACTTATAACATAAAACAATAAATTAATGTGAAATGGAACGTAACATTAATATCACTCTAATGTCAAAATGAAAGTGACATAGAAAAGAAAGAGAGAGAAGAACAAAAAAAAATACAAATAAAAAGTGGGTAGAGAAAAAAGAACAGGCAACCAATAACAATTAAATATGAAAACATGCTAGTTGACGCTCGACGATATTTTACGGCTTACGCGTTTTTAAGTCCGAGCGCGATGCTTCGGCCGCCCCGTGATTTCTTACTGCCGACGACGATAGCTCTGCTGTCTTGGGAAACTTAGTTATTAAGTTGTTTAGTTCATCGACAGTGGTGACCTTGATTCGGCTTCCATCCGGGACTTTAACAACAATAATGCCGTCCTGAGTCCAGCAAGATCGCATACCAAAATACTGCCGACTTTTGCTAAACACAGTTTGTCGTGACTATTGGGTGTCTTAAAGCGGTCTCTTGCAGAAGCGGTGTTTTCTTGTAGGGATATTCTGGTAGTCTTATTGTTATATTTTATTATGTTTATTGTGTAAACAATTGATTATTACTTTATGTGATTGACTCTATATAGCTAACGCTATACATAAACATTTTGACTCTAAGCTCTTATTGGGGTTTTTGGTATAGTCTTAGGTTTACTTCTCTCTTCTTATTTATCTAACGTCTGTTTCCTCTTGACTGGCAGTATGTTCCGAACACCGGCCAAGAAGTATAACGATACTGACTCAGATAACCACACTCCAATGATGCTTCAACTAGAGACGGTGGGTTCGTCACAGAACTCCAGCGTAAGACGCAGCATTGAAGGGTGGGAGTTAGGAAAACATGACGGACAACGCAAACAGTCCCCCTCCGTGAAAAAAGATTCCCACAAACCAAAACTGAACACTACATTCTCTCAGGAGAATAGATCATCACAACCACGAAGACCATCAGTAGAGGCTAGTGGGACTACTCCAAAATTGTTTGCAAGCAGAATAGACGAAGCTAAAGCCTTAAATAATAAGGCAAAAATGCATCTCGCTAGCTCGAAAAACCTGAAAACGGATATTAAGGACGAGGTTACAAAAGCAGTGGAAAGATTATTCCAATTAGTCAAGGAGGCAGAAGCTGAACTGACTAAGGAACCAGCGGCTAAGAAGTTGGAGAAGAATCAGCTTAGGGGAAAGGAGAAGAGGACAATGTCGCAGGAGCCGGGAGTGGACAAAATCCCCGAGCGCGATGACGGCCGAATACTGGCGAAAATAGAACAGAATGCCCAACTCTTACGAGAAAACGTAGGAAAAATTGACGAGCTCAGCAAGATCATGGATCAACAAAACGAGATGATGCAGAGAGCAACATATGCAACTGTTGCGACTGCGAGCCCCACAGTGGGTCACCATTCGGAGCGAAGCGTATTGCATTCCGTAGTCGTTTCATCAGCAAATGAGGAGGAGGCGGACGAGGAAGTGCTGGAGAAGGTGAGACGAGCGGTAGACGCGAGGGAAGGTTGGGTGCAGGTGGAACGAGTAAGAAAGGCAAAAGATAGAAAGGTAATAATGGGGTGCAGAACCAAAGAGGAAAGGAACAAAATTAAGGAAAGGTTGGAAACAGCAGGAGAGCAACTTGTCATCGAGGAGGTGAGGAATAAAGACCCGCTTCTGATTCTCAGAGATGTGCTGGCGGTTCACAGCGACGAGGAAATCCTGAAAGCGCTCAGGAACCAGAATCGGGGTGTTTTTCGTGGCCTCGAGGACAAGGAAGCTCGCGTATCAGTGAAATATCGAAAAAAGGCGCGTAACCCCCTAAATGGCCATATTATACTCTCTGTCTCTCCTGCGATCTGGCAAAGGGCAGTCGACGCAAAAAGGCTACGGATTGACTTGCAACAAGTCCACGTTGAAGACCAATCTCCGCTGGTACAGTGCACTCGTTGCTTGGGGTACGGACATGGCCGGCGGTTCTGCAAAGAACCAGCCGATTTATGTAGCCATTGTGGAGGACCGCAACTCAAAGCAGAGTGTCCAGAAAACCAAATAGGTGAGACACCAACATGCAGAAACTGCGTACAGGCAAAGATATTGAAAAGCGGTCACAATGCATTCAGTTTAGAATGTCCGGTCAGGAAGAAATGGGATGCATTGGCTCTACTGTCTGTAGCTTATTGCTAAGGTGGCCCCAGTGAGCATCTGCCAGCAAAAAATCGTCCAGGCTAACCTGCAACGCAGCAAGTTAGCAACTAATGAGCTGTTAATCGAAGTTAGAAATCGAAAAATAGCCGTAGCACTGCTCCAGGAACCGTATGTCGGCGGCATCAAGAAAATGAAGAGCCAGAAGGGCGTAAGAATCTTTCAGAACTTGGAAGGAGAAGGAACTGTTAAAGCGGCAATAGCCGTCTTTGACCAAGACATAAATGTGATACAGTATCCACAACTCACCACAAAAAACATCGTTGTGGTGGGAATCCAAACCAAAGCCTGGACTATCACAGTAGCGTCCTACTACTTCGAACCAGATAAGCCCATTGAGCCGTACCTGGAGCATTTGAAAAAAGCTATGCATGAAATAGGACCTAGGAGGTCGGTTTTTGGAGGAGATGCTAACGCAAAGAGTACATGGTGGGGCAGCAATGAGGAAGGTCGTAGGGGAGAACAAATGTGCGGAGTCCTGACGGAGCTTGGCTTGCACATTCTAAATGTAGGAGACACACCAACTTTCGATACGATCAGAGGCGGGAAAAGGTATAAAAGCCGAGTGGACGTAACGTGCTGTACAGGTGACATGCTCGAACTCATAGATGGCTGGCGGGTACATGAGAGTCTCACGAGTTCTGACCACAACGGTATACTCTTTGGCATTAATCTGGAAAAATCAAAAGGCATTAAAATAGAAAGAACCACCAGGAAATTCAACACAAGGAAAGCAAATTGGGGCCAGTTTCATGAGAAACTAGTCCAAGTTATGCAAACACAAAATTTAACAGCACAAGATCTGAATAGTATTAACGATATAGAACGAATAGAATACATAGTAAGGAAGTACACCGAAATAATCACAGAAATATGTACAGACACAATGCCAAATAAAAAGAATTGCGAAACGCTTACCATACCGTGGTGGTCCAAAGAGCTCGCAGAGATGAGAAGGAAAGTGTCCACCAGGAGACGTAGAGTCAGGAATGCAGCGCCGGTCCGAAGAGCTATGGTGGTCAGCCTCTATCTAGAAGAGAAGGAGAAATATGAAGCAGCAGTTAAGACAGCAATAGTGGAAAGTTGGAAGAAATTTTGCGCAAAGCAGGACAGGGAGGGAGTTTGGGGGGGCATTTATCGAGTCTTGAATAGAGCCATGATAAGAGAAGAAGACTTGTCATTGCAGAAAGATGGGGAGCCACTAGACCCTATTGGCTCAGTGAAGTTGTTGGCGGAGACCTTTTATCCCGAGGATCGGGAGGAAGATGACAACGTGGAACATCGCCGTACTCGCGAGCTAGCTAAAACCATAAACGGATGGAGCCAAGATGAATTCCATGACCCACCGTTTACCATGAATGGGCTCAATACAGCAATGAAGTCTTTTAACCCCAAGAAAGCTCCTGGGGCCGACGGCTTTACAGCAGACATTTGCTCACATGCTGTTGAATGCAACCCAGAATTCTTTTTGTCACTTCTAAACAAGTGCCTGGCTCTTCACTACTTCCCCAAAATCTGGAAGGAGGCAACTGTAGTTGTATTGAGAAAGCCTGGTAAGAAATCGTACACAGTTCCCAAGTCATATAGGCCGATTGGGCTTTTGCCTATTCTGGGAAAGGTGTATGAAAAGATGCTGGTTGCTCGGCTCAGGTTTCATATATTGCAACGGATTAGTACTCGCCAATACGGATTCATGCCCCAAAAGAGCGCCGAGGACTCCCTCTACGATCTAGTGAAGCATATACGCGAAAAGCTGAAACAAAAGAAAATTATCACACTCGTTTCGCTAGATATAGAGGGAGCCTTCAACAACGCCTGGTGGCCTGCTATAAAGACTCGATTGACTGAGGAAAAGTGTCCGGTTAACTTGAGGCGAGTAATCGACAGCTACCTCAGTGACAGATTGGTTAGGGTTAGGTATGCCGGAGAGGAGAGCAGTCGGCAAACCACTAAAGGGTGCGTTCAGGGCTCGATAGGGGGACCTATCCTATGGAACCTTTTATTGGATCCTCTCTTGAAGCAAAGTGAAGGAAGAGGTGACTATTGCCAGGCATTTGCGGATGACGTTGTGATGGTGTACGACGCGAACACAGCATCTGAAATCGAACGACAGGCCAATGCCGCTCTCGAACGTGTGCGGACGTGGGGCATCAGAAATCGGCTGAAATTTGCACCGCACAAAACCTGTGCGATGGTAATCACGCAAAGGCTAAAGTATGATGCACCGCGTTTGAGCATGGGGGGAATCGACATTAAAATGTCAAAGCAAGTAAAAATATTGGGACTCACTATCGACGCAAGGCTGACCTTCAGACAGCACGTAACCAATGTTTGCAAAAAAGCATTGGATATTTACAAAAAGCTTGCTAGATCAGCCCGTTGGGGGACAAAGTTGTTCGCGTCCGTAGGAGCTACCTAACCACAACCCTATACGTGTCCCCTGGGTGGTGCTAAAGAACAACAAACGCCGAGTCGTAGGCGGCGGTCAACTAACCTACTAGCGGGCTTAGCAGC